CTCCGAACCCATGGAGCGCGATCGGGGCTCCGCGCGCGCAGCCGGGCCTGCCCCGGGCTCCCCTTCTGGTCCAGAAGGATGCTGGAGACAGTGATTGCAGAGGGAAGCGGCCGAGTGACAGAAGGGCACTGTCCTGGGGTCCCCCAAAGTGCCTGCTCCTTCCGAGTCCACTGTGTGATGCAGACGGGCGCCAAAGCCCTCCCGGCCTCAGTCTCCTCATCTGTAGCACCAGGGGCTGGCACTGGAAGCTGGTAGGAGCCCAGCTCCGCGTGGTGGACAGGAGGCCTGGGGATCCCCACCCCTCGCTCTGTGCATCACCGGGTCAGCCTTTCCCGAGCCCCAGCTGCTGCACTGGGATGCATTCTGCCTCCATTCATTCACTCACCCCTCCAGTGAAAGTTTGCAGAGCACCCTTCTGCAGGCGGGCCCCTGGCCAGGGGTCCTAGAGGCCACCTCAGTGAGCAGGACAGACCCCGCCCTGGCCGCTGGAGTTCCCAGCTAGTGTTATTTCCCCATCTCAGAACTCAAGGCTGTGTTCTAATCAAAAGCTTACTGTAATCTGTCTCCTGAAGGCTGTGTTCTCTCTCGTCCTCAGAATGTCCTAGGTTTAGCCACTCTGTTCTTATTTTGTGACTAGTATTTTCTCTTATCTCTCTGAGGATTGTAACTGTGAGTTTTCTTTTCTCCATGCGGTGTGTTTCCCACTTGCTGTTTCCATTTGTTTGTTTTGTGTTTGTCTTTCCTATTAGAGTCTGTAATCAAGTGGCTGTTGACTCTTAGCCTCCTGGTCATTTGTAACTGGGGAGCAAAACACTGATGCTCCCCTGTGGGGTGGATGAGAATTTTCTCCTGGAGTCTCTACTGTAGGATGGTCCAACTGGGGCACTCCCTGCAGAACCCCCGTACTGGGCAGCTATGACTGCTAAACGAACAGCCCCCGAATCTCTGGCTTCATCATCTACCCCTCTGCACCCCACCCAGAGCGCTCCAGCCACACAGCTTCCCTGGACATGCTGAGCATGCACCTGCCTCAGGGCCTTTGCACTGGCTGTGCCCTCTCCCTGGAAATCCTGGCCCTAAGATGTCTGAATGGCTTGCTGTCTCACTTGTGTCAAGTTTCTTCTCAAATGTCATCTTGTCCAAGAAGACGTCCCCTCCCATTGCCCTCCGGTCCCCCATCCATTGTTTTTCCCTATAGCACTTGTCACCTCTGACATACTATGTGTTCATTTAATTCTTTGTTGACATCTCTCTTATGTTGCTAGAATGTAGGCTCCAGGAAGGCAGGGGCTTTGTTTGTTTGTCTAGAATAAGGCTTGAGGCTTAGCTGTTCCATGGCAGTTGCTGACTAGCTCATTCACAAATGGTTGATATTTCTTCAGTTCAAAAATTATGTCCATGATCAGCCAGTGGTCCAAGGGGGCTGGATAAGTGTCTCTGGCATAATAGGATTTTAAATATAGTCAATAATGATGCTTACTGCAAACAGAATCAGCAAATACTGAATCATTGTCCCAGGGGGAAACACAGGACGAGATTTCTGCAAAACTCTAGTCACAACATTTTCATTAACCAATCAGTACATAGCGTTGTTTAATGTTTCTGTTTAAAGACACATTATTTAATATGTATTGTTGGTAACACTGAACTTGAGGCCAACAGCCCTGTAACTCTGTCCTGAGCGAATATTATCTCACAGGTGCATTTTCTGCCTGAGGCAGTCGCAGCCTTCCTGTGATTAGGACACTAGACCCCCACCACACTACTACACTTAGAGGTCATTTTAAACAACAGAATCACCTGCAAAAGCACAAAAATGCAAAAAAAAAGAAAAAAAAGGCACTAAATAGAACACGAAAAGGACGTGTGTTTGCAGTCTGAGCTGAGCCAGAGGCAGGCCGTTCTCAGTTGGAAACTGCACATAAGGCAACTCAAACTTCACGGGTTCGGCACACGTCCAGGACCGTTCACAACAGCACCCTGGGTGTTGATTTGGGGAGTTACAAATAAAGTTTAGCCAGCAGGCGAATCTGTGAATGCAGAGTCTGCAAAGCACAATCGCCAGTCCTTCACAATACAGCCAGCCTGTAATTTAAGGTAATCGAACATATTTTTTGAAAAGTCACCCAGTGACTTTATTGGGAATAACAGGAAAATTAATATTTAAGTGCCGTTTCTTGAGTTAAGCTGTTAAGCATTAAGGAGCTCCCAGGCCACCCAGACCCCTGCCCTGGAAGAACAATGACCTTTGACCCAAGATTGCCTCCAGGGCCCGAGGACTTGCTGAGAAGCTGCTCCCTCCAGGGGCTTCTTGGGGGGGGGGGCACCTGGACAGTCTTGAAGGATGTGTGGCCGCCCCCAGGTGGGAGTGAGAGGAGGAGCAGTGCACACAGGGCCCGCAGAAGCCCAGAGCTGAGCAGACGTGACTGCAGGGGGTGGGGACCTGATGGCTACAGTCCCAGGGCCACTAGGCTGTCTGATCGCAACCTGTCCCCCCTTTGGATTTTAGGTAGATGACGCTCAGAGCCTGCTCAAGAATTTGGAGTCTAATGCAGAGACCCCCTCCGAAGCCGGTTCCCCGTCCAGGAGGAGGAAGAGAGGAGCGCGGACTTCGAAGGACTCTGAGGCTCTGGACGTAAGCGGGGTGTTTGGGTTTATCTGCCCTGGTGCATGTTGGGTGTCCCGCGTCCCACCTGGCAGCACAGAGGTCCTCTGGATAAGCCTCTGACGGATCTTAATGTCCCAATAGGTTTCTTTTTTGAGGCACAATTTACAGACAACGGAATGCACAGGTTTTAAGTTTACAGTTGGACGAGTGAGAAGTTCATACACACCCTTGGAACCGACACCCGTCAGGAGCATTCCATCACCTTGGAAAGCTCTCCCACGCCCCTGTGCCCCTTTCTGGTACCAGGGGCGTGGGAGAGCTTTCCAGGGCCCAGCCCCTTCCCGAGGCCGCAGCTGCTGTCATTTCCAGCACCGAGGTGGTTCTGCTGTCCCAGACCCTTGCAGTCTTACACCCAGACTCCTACACTCTTACAGTCCCTGGGACGGTAGCCATCAGGTCCCCATCCAATTTGGTCTACATCCAGTTTCCTGCGTTCCCTCGGTGTCTTCCTTATGAGCTTCACGCACGTCCTTGCCCTTGTCAGTGTGTCAGTATTTCGTCCTCTGAGGGCGTTGGTCCATCGCGGGGATACGCCAGGCGTGGCCTTTGCGGTGATCGGCTCTTCTGCACAAGGCTTCTGTGAATGTTTGCATAAGTGTGCTTGTGATTTGTTTTCATTTTGTTTTATTTCTTTTAAGCACATACTAAGTACACATCTAGGAGTAGGAGTCCTGGGCTTCTGACGAAGGTGTTAAAAGACACATTCTCCCGGTACCCCCTTCCTGACCCCCCACTCGGTCCAGCCGAAGCCTGCCCGTGGGGCATCGCTTCCTGTGTGGCATCCAGGATCCTGGAACCCAGTCCCAGCTCTGCCGCCTGTTTGCTGTGTGATGTTGGGCAGGAAACATAACCTCTCCGAGCTTCAGGTTTCTCAGCTTTACGATGATAGTGATCGGGGTCCCTCATGAGTTATCATTGATTCTGTGATTATTCCTGCCCCAGAATAAGTGATCCAGCTGCACTTACAGGGAGCCACATCCTTCCACCTCCCCAGGAGGCGAACTCATTTTTTTCCCCCCTGTAGTGTTTTCCCTGTGAACTGTTGAGCTGCACCCAGGCTATGCCCATTATCAAGCTAATAATTGCCAGAGTTCAGTTAGAGAACTGCCCGTTCCCGTGACCGGCTCGCCCCCATGCCCCTGCACTCCGCAGGCCGAGCTCGGCAGAGAATGTGCGGGGGACTGGCCGAAGGGTGAGCCGAGCGGAGACTCCCTGTCTAAGGCCCAGAGAACCAAGGCGTGAGTGCTTCCCGTCTCTCCTTGCAGGAGCTCTGTTCAGGTAAATGGCCCACAACCACCAAAAACAAACAGAAAATTCCACTGGGCCCTGAGGCGTGCAACTCCTAGCTTGGGCCTCGGTTCTCCGTCTGCATCCCGGCCCCGTGTGTGGAGCATCCGGGCCCTGTGTGTAGGATGACAGAGGACAGGGAGCACTGGCTGCTGCAGGGACACGTGTGCACCTTTCCGGAAAAGAATGCCACCCAGTCGGTGGTGAAATGGGTTCTTGCCTCCTACGGTTTCGCTCTCACTAATTTTTGGAATAATTGCATTGCTTCGGCGGAAGGAGTTTTACATTGAGATTTGCTATACATCCAATTTCCTGCATCATTGTGCAGCTGCGGCTGGGGAGACCGTCGGACTGGGAGGAGCTCTGAGCTGGAGGAGAGCCCTGGAAACCCCATCCGGCGGGTCCCGCCCAGGCGGCGGAAGCCTGTCACCTGCCCCATTCCGTGTGCTGAGTGCTCATGGGTCCTGCATCTGCTGACAAGTGTCGTGTTCGTCCCCAGGCCTGCCCTAGAAGGGACAGGGTCCTCCATCCTCTGACAAGTGCCATGATCGTCCCTGGGCCTGGCCTCGCGGGGATGGCAGGCTCCAGGGGGACGGGATGGAAGAGCCACCGCGGTCCAGGGTTTCCCAGGTGGCTGGGGTAGTGCCATCAGCTGGGACTGGGTTTTACTGCACAGCCCTGTGGGCCCCCACCCCCGGGTCCTGCTTCCATGGGTCTCCGTCGGACCCCAGCCTCTCAGTCGTCCTAATTATGGTTTTCACGGGAAGTGCAGGTTTTGTTTCGTGTCTCCCTGTTGAAGATGGGTCCCTGGGAAGCAGGGGCCATGCCTTCCTCTCGGGTCCATCCCTTCCATTCCGTCCCTCCTCCTACTGTCTGTCCGGAGTTTAAAACGCTCTGTGCCCTTTCCGCGCTCGCGTCGTATCCTCGGGTAAGCACGTCTCCACCCAAACGTTAGCCAGGCCCGGCGTCACGGGCGCTTTCTTCAAGACTTAGCTGAGGAGCATGGAAGCAGAAGTGGGTGCGCTTTTCACCCGCTGGGGAGAGATTGCTCGAGGTCTGGGTGCCAGGCTCCCGACTTACCCGCCTGCTCACCGCCGTCCACTTGCTGGTTGTGTCCAAAGCATTCCTGCGGCACCGGCTTTGCCAAGTGCCGCGGGACGAGCCCCACGGGAGAGAAGCAGAGGCGAAGAGCAGGCCCGGAACGAGTGCGTCGGCTACAGTCAGGCCGGCTCCCCGGCGCGGCCGCTCCTGCGCAGGGCCCCCTGGCTCCTCGCCACTACCTACAGCTGCCGTCGTCTCACTTCTGGCCTGTGCCAGCCTCTCTGCTGGGAGCTTTACCTGCGAGGTCCTGGGGACATGCGCCACCTGGGCACTGCCTGGGACGACCAAGGCTCAGAGACGGGAAGAGCCTGCCCGACCCCTGGTTGTTGTTAAGGGTCTAATCCGAAGTCTAGCGTGAATATTGCCACGTGTGAGTGTTAATACCACTGGCAGTGCTAAAATGATCTCTGACTTTCCCACTAAAACACGGCTCACAGCTGTTAGGAACGTTCTTGTTAACTATCCTCATGTTGTTTGAATCCTGATTTCTTCCAAAGGTGAAGACTTGGAGTTAAATGAATGTGCTATTTAACATCTGTCTGTCCATCCATCTACCTGTCAGTATGTCCCTCCCTCCCGCACCCATCCATCCACCTGCCTGTCCATCTGTACATATGTTCATCCATTCATCTGTCCATGTATCCATCTACCCATTTGTTCGTCCATCTGTCCATTCATCCATCTGTCCATCCATCCACCCACCTGCCCATCTATCTTTCCAGCTGTCTGTACATTCCTCTATCTACCCATTTGTCCATTGATCCATTCATTCATCCATCCATCCGTCCACCTGTTGTCTGTCGGTCCATTCACCCATCCACCTATTCACCCATCCGTCACCCATCCTTCCACCAAGCGAGTGCTTACTTAGATCTGTCCGTGCCTGTTGTGGTCCCTTCCCCAGGCCACGGTTACAAACACGATGTGGCATTTTGGAAACTCTTGGTGGCTGACCCTTCGTCTACGGCAAGCCCCCCCACGCCACTGTTCCTCTTCCTTCCCAGGAGCGTGAGCCGTCTTTCAACGGCAACGTCACCGCATTCGCGCTGAAGGCGAAAGTCGTCTACCCCATCAACCAGAAGTTCCGGGTGAGAGTCCTCAGCTCCGCTGGAAACGCGATTGCTCAGTAATGTGCTAGAGACGGGGGGCGGAGCAGTGGGATTAGTGTGCGATTCCAGTTCTCCTTGAGGGTTTCGTGGCAGGACATCGTAATAGGGGTAAGTGTGAGGCTTTGGAACTGAGCAGCACTTCGGGGTTGATCCATTTGATGACGGTGTGGTTGGGGCCAGGGTGTGCCCCTGGTATGTCACGGCGAGGAATTACCATAGTGTTGTATCCGAGGGACACCCGGGGACAGCACAGTAGGACAGCCTCCACCCTGCCCACTTAACACAAATATAAACGCTGATACTGACGCAGTTACCAACATCTCGTTCACAGCCCCCGAGACTCAGGCCAGCAGCTAGCACTGAGCACTTGCTGTGGGGCTGGCAGAGTGCTCAGTGTTTATCATGCATCAGGCTTTTCAACCTTAAATATTCCTATAAGATAAATAATATTGTCTTCTCCAAATGACACACAATGAAACTGAAGCCCAGAGAGGCTGATGACCTGCCCCAGGTCACACCGCAGAAAGTGGCAGGGCCAGAGTCACCCACCCCCAGCCTGGCTACAGGCCTCATACCTGAAGGCAGGAGTTCACACCTGCGGCCGGCGTCTTGCAGAGCGGGGTCTCCTGTGGTGCCCCAGGAACCCTTGGCTTGTGAGATGCTCTGTGAAAAAAAAAAAAGAGTTTCTGGTCAAGTATGTTGAGGGGAGAGAGGACAGGCTCTGGAGTCACTGACTCAGCCCTGACTCCCACCCCCGCCATGTACTGTGGACCATTTCCTGTCTTCTTTGGTCTCAGTTTCTTAATCTGTGAAATGGGAGTAAGGGGCCCTCCTGCCTCACCCAGTTGTTTTGAGGGTTACATCGGACAGTAGACGTGAGGGCTTAGAACACTGTGTCACATCTAAGCACTCAGTACCTGTTTGGTTTTCTAAGTTATTCTTTGCTTTGGAACAGCCAGAGCACATCGAAGGCTCTGAGAATTCCCCCACCGAAGAAATTTCCATTTTGTTTAACACAGACTTTCCCAAATTAGATTTTCTGTGGAACCGTTACAGTGAAAGAAGCTGGACACAGTTCATGGGCCTGTTCCCCAGAACACGCATTGGAACCACTTTGTTTCCTCAGCTCTTTGGGGCAGGGGTGGGGCGGGGAGGAGGGCCCCACTCCCAGAGCTGGGGCAGTTCATCATCCACACCCACTGGGGGTGACCCTGGGTCGGGAGAGCGTTGTCCTCACCCTGGAGGCCATCCCAGTCTGGGTGGGGACGGTGTGTGGTATCTGGCTACACAGAAAGGACCAGGGGCCTGTGGGACCTGGCGTGGGCTGGGCCCCGGGGTCTGTCTGGAGGAAGGGCTGCTTCGGCCCAGCAGGGGAGGGTGTCCAGCCTGGGGGACAGCGTCCCTCCCGCTCAGGCTGTACCAGGCTGCGACCTCTTGTGGTCATGGCAGGAGCTGCATTTCTTTGAGCCAACCTGAGAGCAGTGAGGTGCCACCTGGAAGGCCGGGGGGCAGGAGGTGATGCCCACATCAGTGTAGGTAAAGAAGAGCTAGGTGGTCAGCAGGTTAGTGGACAGAGCAGGCCCGGGGGTCTGTGACAGCAGCAAGAGGGGTGGGCCAGGGAAGGTGGGCAGCCGAGCACCGAGGACAGGGGGCCATCGGGAAACAGAGGCAGGCTCATAGCCACGGGGTGGGAGCCGGGTGCAGAGCATTGGTCTCTTGGGGACAAGAGAGCTGTGATGTGGGTCTGTCACAGCCCTCCCCATGCGGCCCCGCCTGGCCATCCTGGGAGCCACCGTCATGTGTAGCAGGCGGAATGACTGAATCAGACTCCTGAGGGTCACGTGCACTAAGAGTCTGATTTCTCTCTGCCCCCCAGCCTCTGGCCGATGGTTCCTCCAACCCGTCTCTGCACGAGAATTTAAAGCAGGTGGTTTTGCCCCACCAGCCGGTGGAGGCGTCGCCTTCCAGCAGCCTGGGGAGCCTGAGCCAGGCGGAGAAGGAGGAGTGCAGCTCCTCCTCCAGCATCCACTCCGCCGCCAGTGACGACAGGTTCCTCGGCCGCACCTTCCTCCGGATCCACAGCTTCCCCGAGGCGCTGACCTGTGAGAGGTGAGGGGGTGTGGGTGGAGGGCGCAGACCCAGGGAGCACATCACTGTCGGGAGGGAACAGAGGCCCAGAGAGGTTAAGCTACTCAGCCATGGACACACAGCTGCCCAGTGTCAGAGTGGGACCCTATATCCCTCTGTCACTTGCCATGTGGTGTCGAGCAGCATGGGGGGTTATGGAGTCCGGCTCAAGCCCCTGTAGAGACATCAGGGGGCCTCGATGATTCACCGGCGTGCCTTGGGCTGGCACAGCAGCAGCGAGCACGGATTAGGCACCTCCTGTGTGCTGGGCGGACTGCTGTACACTTTGCAGGGATTACTTACTACATGCACACAAGGATCAGGCCTGTCTTGTTCCTTGCCCTGTCCCGTCCGCCAGTGGATCCTGGGACAGGTTCAGTGATGAATAATTTAATCAGTCAATGAATTAATTCCTCCTAAGGACCTTATCAGGTAGGGGCTACTGTTGTCCACATTTTATGAAGTGAGTCTCAGAGAGGCTGAGTGACTTGCCCAAGGTCACACAGTGGATGGTGATGGGGCCACGTTTGACCCCACCACTTTATCTCCGATGCCCACGCTCAGAATCATATAACTACCCAGCCCAGAGCAGGGCTGAGCACGTGGGAGGTGCCCAAGCAACTCAGTCTGGCAGGTTTGTGGGTTGGTCCTCAGGCCTGTCCACTCTGACGTTTGGTGGGTTCGAGGGGCCTTGGACACGGTCCAGGGCTATGGAAAGAGTGGGCTCAGGGCCCTGAGCTTGGGAGGACCCTGAGGGTGGCCCGGGGCAAGAGCAGCTTCACTGGACAGGAGCCTGGTTGGCTTGGCCTGCCTCACTGGAAAAGGCTGTTTCTGGGTATTTGGACCTAGAGGACTTCTAACCATTTAAAGCACATTTACCTAGTGAGAAAAAAGGTCACAGGCCTCTCTTTACACCCTGCCTCTTACCTGCCCCTGTGACCATGTGGCCAATACTTGATTTCTCTGACCCTCGAGTTCCTGAGTCAGTTTCCTGGTCTGTAAAATGGGCACAAGAATGTCTACATCACAGCACTCAGAACCAGACACGTGATACCAGACACGCAAGTGACCGGGAGGAAGGGTCAGTTTCGTTTCTCCCACCCGCCCTCTCTTCCTGTTCTGTCCTTGATGTCCAGGCCACAGTCCCCTTCAGATAGCTTCTGTGACTCCTTGTAAACCGAGGGTGGCTGTTAGGACCCTCCCCGCACTGCAGAATTTAAACTCTGGCGCCAGGACGCGCATGGCCTGCACTGAAGCCCGGATGCGCTAATCCCCTAACCTCTCTCCCGCCTCAAACACTGACCGTCTGCTTCGTTTCTCTTTCGACTTTGCAGCGCCGACCTTGACTTGTGTATCTACAGCCTTCACCTGAAGGATCTGCTGCAGCTGGACGCGGCGCTGAGGCGGGACAAGCACTTGGTAGGTGGAGAGGTGGTCGCATCGCCTCGTCGGGGCTCAGGAACTGGGACACGAGCTCTCTGGGGACTGAGACCCTAGGGAGATGGGCGTGGGTGACAGTGGAGCGAGCACGGTGGGGAGGGAGAGCGACCTTAGGCGTAGACCCCTCGGTGGAAAAGCGGGTCCTGCCTGCTGGTGGGCACCGGCTTCACTTTACCCAAAGAGAGAGAGACAGACAGTCAGACAGACAGAGACAGAGACAGAGAGACAGAAGCAGGAGGAGGAGGGGAAGGAGGGGAGGCGGGAGGGAGGTACCATTGTTTAAACCTTTCTCTTTGTTGTTTCCTTTGTTGGCAATAGATGTTCATCCTGATTTTTAAAATGTGCCTCCTTGACCTTTTTCCGAAAAAGAAGCCTGATGACGAATTCTACCAGAAGATTCTTTCGAAACAAGAAAATGTAAGTCTTCTACCTGTATTTCAAGGTAACTGGAAAGTAGTTTATTATGACATATAAAACTTGTGAAAGTGTGTTTGCTTTCATGTGTAAAGATAGTTTAGTACAACGTACACTTTTTAACATAATATAGAGATGTGAAAGTGTGTGTACAGATATACAAATAACAGTGTGGCCCGGCCGGGCGTGGCTCAGCAGCTGAGCATAGGCCTAGGATCCAGGCAATTGGGGTTCGGTTCCCGGTCAGGGGGCCTGCAGGAGGCAGCCGATCAATAACTCTCTTATCATTGATGTTTCTATCTCTCCCTCTCCCTTCCTCTCTCTGAAATCAATAAACATATATTTAAATAAAAAAATAAAAATAACACTGTGTGCTACTAAAATGTGAAAAAAACATTGGAAGCAGAGAAACTAGAAGGGTGTTGGTCACAGTCACTGTCCGAGAGAATCACCGCTGATGGGAATTTCTGCACAAGTTTGGGGTGTTTTTAAATATATAATCTTCCAGGACTTAGAAGGACTGAAAGATACTGCTTCGTTGTTTTCTAAGTCTGATCTGTATTTTGTAGAGGGGGAAGGAAAATGGGAGAAAATAATTCCTTATTCTTGAGACTCCATATTTAATGAGCAAAATAGGTTTTTATCATCCAGCCTTAAATCGGACAGCACCCAGAGCACTTACTTATGGTTAAGCAATACTACATGGTAAAAGCCCGCCTTTTTCTAGAATTTAAGAAAGATTCGATTTTTCCCTTTGTTTTCCTTCTCTTGCCTGTTTCAGGATTTAGAGGAACTGGAAAGGGGACTGCAGGTCAGGCTGTCCCACACGGACACGTTGGGCGCCGGGGACTCCGAGTACATCGCCCTGGCGGAGGTGGAAAGGAAGGAGCGAGAATACTCCGAGCAGCTGACGGGTAACGTAGGTGATGGGTTTTCTTTCCGGCATAAAAGCTGTGCTTTCGGGACAGTCCAGCTGGTGAGGTTAAAGGTGTGGATGGCACCTAGAACCCTGTTTAATACCGAATTCCCGGCCCTGTCTGCCCCTAGCCTCCAAATTAAGCCATAGAGAAGGTATAACCGAGGGCCAAGATTTACAGAGGAAGGTTTTTTATTTTTGTAACCGATCCCCCTTGTTTAAATTTTAGATTGACCTTTTTACCCCTCAAAGCAAAGATTGCTGTAACCCTGTGCGTCATGAGCCCCGGGGGGCTGGAGCAGATGCCGGCTACTAACTTCTCACACTCGGCTTCACTCACAAAAGCCTGTTTCAGATTCCAGAGAGGATGGCTCCCCTCAGATGCCTGTTTTGCTTTTGGGCTCCACGTCCTGCGTTCATATATGATGTATGAAACAGACGTTTCCTTGGCACGCAGGTGCTGTGCTGGCTCCTGGGGACTCAAAATGAACTTAGACCTGGCCCTGTCCGAGAGACGCTCAGGCCGGCCTGGGGCGGGGCAGGGCGGGGGTGATGGGGAGTGACAGGTGAGCAGATGAGGGCTTTCCGGGTTACAGGTGTGACAGATGGACACACGGGGAGGCTGGGGCACAGTGCAGAGAGGAATTCGTCTTACCCCAGGGTCTGGAAAGTCTTCGTAGAAGAAAGGACCATCGAGAGGCCGTTTGGGAGACACGTGGGTGCTGGCCAGTGGGTGGCAGAGAAGGCAGCCGGGGGTCCAGGAGCAGGCAGAGTGAGAGGAAGCAGAGACAGGCCCCAGGGCCCTCACGCCAAGGAGGGGGAATCGCTGCGGGTTCGCAGCGGAGGGGGGGGTGGCCCGTTTCTGGGTTAGAAGGACCACGCAGGCTGCGGTGTGCGGGTCAGGTAAGAGCTGCTGGGCTGGTGCAGCAGGAGTTTCCTGAAGGCATTGGAGTGGGTGGAGAGGTAAGAAAGCGGGAGCCAGTAGGGTGGAATATAATGACGGGGGGAGAGGGTAGGGAGGGTCAGTCCTAGGGAAATAAGGACCCCAGACTGAGGACAGGTTGGGAGGGGAGGCAGTGAGTTCTGGCTGGAGGACTTGGAGATGCCCAGAAGTGTCCACTTCAGCGTCGGAGAGGTGGAGCCAAGGAGACGCTCACAGCTGGGAGCTGAATGGGCCTGAGCCCCGTCTGCCTCTGCCTCCCCTTAGCCCTGGGACCCAGGACGAGGGGTCCCTCTCTCCGAGCCGCCGCCTCTTCCCAATCTACGTTTTATCTAGAAGTAAACTGTGGGACGCACACAACCTGCCCGCCATGAACAAAAGACATCGTTAGGACTCCCGGGGTCATTGTTCTCGGATATGGGGCCCCACTGATGCCAGCGAGGCCTGACCCTCTCAGCCACGAGGGGGTCCTAGCTCCGCTTCCCATGAGGTGGGGAAGGAAAAGATTTTCCAGCAGAATGTTTTCATGGTCAGCGTCATCTCTGCCGGATTCTGTCTTATACTTTGGGGACAATAGCTGATATTTAAAGGGGCACGTTCCATCCCTTCTGAAGACCTGGACGCTTCCCAGCGCCCCCTGGCAGGACGCACAGCCTGCTGGAGTCTCCGCTGGTTCTCGTGGCTCCCGCCTTAGCAGCGGCTCTTTGCTGGTTGTGAGAAGCCACCTTGCAACTGACGGGCGCCTGCGGAGGAATGCGAGGGACCTCTCGGGAATGCGATTACTGCTCCAAGTGCAGAATTGTTTGGAGTCTCAGTTTGCTATAAGGACGGAATTGTAGTTCCTGAGCCTGGGCCATACAGCTTTATCGCTTTTATTTTATTTTTTTTAATCCTCACGTGAGGATATTTTTTCCATTTTTCTTCAGAGAGAGTGGAAGGGGGAGGGAGGGAGAGAGAGAGAGAGAGAGAAACATCGACGTGAGAGAGACACATTGACTGGTTGCCTCCCGCACATGCCCTGACCTGAGCCAGGCATCAAGCCTGCAACCCAGGTACGTGCCCTTGGCTGGAATCGAACCCAGGACCCTTCAGTCCGCAGGCCGACGCTCTAACGACGGAGCCAAACCAGGGTGCTTTATCGCTTCCTTAGCTAAGTTTGCTCCCCCACCTCTGGCTTCTCTTTCTCATTTCACAGATGGACGCTTTCTGGACACAGGTGGAAAGCATCCAGCACTGTCTCGTGGACCAGTTTAAGTGTCCCAGCTCCAAGGCCCGACAGCTCGGGGCGGCTCTGACAGAAAGAATGATCGCAGCAGAAGGGCTGCTGCGTGACTCTCAGGACTCGCAGGCTCTGGTAACGCTCGAGGGGACTGGGGAGGGAACATGGAGAGATATAAGCTAGAGGTGCGGAGTCGGGAGGCGTGAGGTGCTGTAGAGATTGTTGAGTTAAACACCTTCATATTGTAGATGGGGAGAGAAACCCAGAGAAAAGCAATGAATCCATCTTTCCATCCCTCCATCCATCATCCATCCATCCCTCCATCCATCCATCCATCCGTCGTCCCTCCATCCCTCCGCCCCAGGCATGAAGATGCCAGTCAGCTCCACATTCCTGCAGCACAGAGCACTGTTTCTCTACCCTGGCTGTGCACTGAAATTATCTGGGGACCTTTAGAAAGTACTGATGCTTGGGTCCCAGGTGAGTCCCCACCCCAGAGATCCTGATTGAATCAGTCCAGGGTTTCCAGAGCTCCCGGTGACCGTGGTGAGCAGTCAGAGTTGAAGCCCGCTGGTATGGATGGAGCTTTGCTCTCCCGACTGCCTCATGAATCACCGAGGGAGCTTTCAAAAACGTCCATGCCTCCCGCCCAGGGATCCAGTCTGATCAGTTTGAAGTAGAAGCCCTGGTTTTGCTGCTTTTAAAACTCCCCAAACAATTGTGGTGTGTAGCTGGGGATGCAAACCACTGGGGTAGAGGAATCTGCAAATCCTACTTCGAATCAAGGCCCAGCCACTTGAAGCCGTGTTATCTTAAACTGGTTACTTAACCCCTCTGAGTTCCAAATACTCTATTTATAAAGAGCGGTCCTAGGAGTTGTCACAGACAGGCCCAGGGAAGTGCTCGGTGCTCTGTAACACCCTCATCACCAGCAGGTTTCTCTGGAGGTTTGGGGCTCACCCTGCTGCGTGCGAGGCCCAGGGCACTGTGCACCCATCTCCCCTTCCTCTGACCTTGGGAGCCCATGCATTCCATCTCGGACCTGCGCACCTGCCCAGGTTACACCCGGCTCGGAAACCTTCAGCGGCCGCCCTGCCCGCAGCTCAGAGACCCGGCTCCCCAGGGCCTGTGGAGCCAGAGTGGATTCCTGCTGCTTCTCCACAAACCACCTGCTCCAGGGCGTGGTTTGCAGACCGGCGGCCGCCTGAGAGCCGGTTAGAAACGCAGGGCCTCCCCCACACCCAGGCCAGTTAGTTGTGCATGCGAACGTGCCCCGGTGCACCCAGCCCTTGGAGAGCTTTATCTTTGCCTCCCCATTCTGTACACACAGTCCCTTCTCTGCCCAGCGCTGTTAAAAGATGGGCAGATATGCCCACAGTGGACAGAAAGGGAGTCTGCTGATGCCCCTACCCTGCACTCCCTGCCTCCTGGTTCACCTCCAAGCCCCTTTGGACTGGGTTTTAATTTGGTCAGGCTGCTGATTTCTCATCAAAAGAGCAAGACTTTCCCTTTTTACCTAATTATTATCCTGTCAGCAGGATATTGATGCAGGAAAAAAAAAAAAAGTATCCTTAGCTGACACCGGCCCAAGTATTAGCTAGAAACTTGCAAGTAAGATGAAGGAAACGAATTATCCAGGTTCTCAGATGCTCTCCCTTCAGCCAACATTTAATGAGCACCTACTCTGTGCCACGTTCTGTTATAGAAACGGTGCCGCAGACTCANAAAAAAAAAAGTATCCTTAGCTGACACCGGCCCAAGTATTAGCTAGAAACTTGCAAGTAAGATGAAGGAAACGAATTATCCAGGTTCTCAGATGCTCTCCCTTCAGCCAACATTTAATGAGCACCTACTCTGTGCCACGTTCTGTTATAGAAACGGTGCCGCAGACTCAAGCCAGAACCCTGAGCACGTCCCACAGTCCTGCCACTTATTAGCTGTGTGACCTCGGGCACTTACTCAGCCTCTCTGTGACTCAGTCTCATCATCTGTAAAATGGGATCAGAGCAGCGCCTGCCCTGAGAGTGTTAGAGATCGGACAGTAGGTCAGGCCTTTTGAACAGAAGCTCACATGGGAAGCGTCTGAGCACTTTGGCCTGGGCAGGTGGACCAGGAACGTGTGACTCTCAGATCGGAGCCCTGGAAGGGCCCTAAAGGTCATCAGAGTTAGTCTCTTGGGATGTTCAAGAAACACCGGATGCCAGGAGCGATGTGGGGACTCGCTGTAGACAATGATGAGAACAGTTGCATTCCGAGCACTTACTGTGTTCTCACTACTGTTTAAAATGCTTTGCGTATTATAACTTACTTAATCCTCAAAGCAACTCTGTAAATCAGGTGTCACATGAGGACACGGTGCCCAAAGTCCTTCGGCTCTGAGGGGTGGAGCCAGGCCGGAGCCCAGGCACTCGAGTCCACTGCACTCGCTCTCGGAGCTGGCAGTGGCCCCACCTCATGTCCCTCTGCTCCTCCCGCCCTCCATCGGGCGCCCCTCCGCTCAGGCTCACCTCTCCCCACTCCCATCTTCCCTTGAATACAAACCCAGAAGCTGCACTGTCACTAGGAGCCGGGAGGGCCTCGCCTTGCTGCATCTGAGGTGGCTGTCCCCCCTGCCCACCCTGCCTGGGCCCTGGCAGAGCCTCCCCCGTGGCCACAGCGCTGGGGGCTTGGCCTTCCGGGCCCTCTAGTGGGCCTGGGCCCGCTGGCTGCTGGCAGGTTTGTTTCATTGGAGGAGAGGAAGTTCAAGGCCGTCCCTTGGGCTAGTTATGTGGCCCTCAGAATAAACGTCAGGGTCCTTGTCCATAATCGGGGGGTGGTTTTTCTTGCCCTGTTCACACGCTGTTAGAACACAGGCCAGTGCAGCTCAGCCACAGCGAGGCCCAGGCTGGGCAGTCGGTGGCTCAGATCAGCCCCTCTCTTCAAGGACTTTCATCCCAGCCCAGGACTGTCCTCAGGTTCAGGTCCCTCAATGACAGAAGCACATGGGTGGTGGAGCATGGAGAAGGGGTGCAGTGGGGTGCAGAAGATCAGAGCTTGTCAGGATGAGTAGGACCCAGCCAGGCAGTGGAGTGAATACCAGGAGGCAGGGAGGGTGGCCCAGGAGGAAGGCTCCGAGTGTGCAAAGGCCTGGCGGAGCCGTGAGCCGGGCAGCCAGAATAGGCAGGTGTGTGGGACAAGGCTGGGGACTGAGCCAGGCCTGGTCCTGAAGGGCCTCGTGCTCCATGCCCGGGAGTTTGGACTGGGTCTGAGGGCAGTGACTAGAGGGTTTGGGCCAGGGGATGACAGAGCCGTGTCTTCATCTGAGAAAGGCCCATCTGCCGCGTGGAGACAGAGCTTAAGGGGACAGGTGGGAGGCTGGGAGACCGGGAACAGATCCGAGGCAGTAGCCCAGCGCAGACGTGACTGTGGTCCGCAGGAAGGGCATGGGGAGGAGGCTCTGAACGAGGCAGGACGGCAGGCCTGGTGGGGAAGGGGCTGGGCTAACTCAGGCCTCCATGGTGCAGGTGGGGCAGTGGCGAGATGGGCAAGGACACAGGCCTGCAGCTCTAATGTGGTCCCCATGGCCACTGCAGTGTCCCTGCTCCTTCCGTGGTCCTTGCTCTCATTCGACAGCACCCATTCATTGGGCATCTTCTCTCTGAGATGGAAGGACCATCCGTGCAGACCTGCAGGGCCCCTCTGCCTCGGTCAGCATGTTCTGCGTGGGGTGGAGGCCTGTCCTGCGCAGTAATAATAATGCGATAGAACAGGGTGGAGCTGGTTCTAAGGTCTGCGGTTGGGCATCGCTCCTGAAGTCTCTTCAATCCCCGGAACTCAGGCTCTGGGGCACAAAGGCCCAGGACTCCTGTGACCTTTGTCTCTCCGTGTACTTCTCGGGGCTGTTGGTGGCCAGAGGCCATTGGATGGGGAAGGAGTGGCTGTAAGAAAGGTGGGTTTTCCTCCTGGATCATGGACGTATATTGAATTCCTCCCTGAAGAGCCCGCTCTGGGGAGCACTCAGTATGTACCAAGCGCTCTGCATATCTTAACCAGTGTCCACCTCCCTATGGCTCCGTGAGGGACAACAGAGTCTCCCCTGAGGAGCAGGCACAGGAGGCTCCGAAGGGAGCCACTTCGTCTGTGCTCAGCATGCAGGGAGGTTGGGCTGTTAACAGACCCTGTGGCCGAGCGCCAACCCGAGATGTCCCAACCTGACGCGCGGGGTCGTTCTCCTCTCAGGACATCCTGGACAGGACAATGGGCCGGGCACACATGGCGAAGATGATCGAGTTCCTGAAGCTGCAGATCCAGGAGGAGACCAGGTGCCGCCTGGCCGCCCTCTCCCGCAGCCTGGACCTGCTGACCGTCCAAGGCCGGCTGTCCGGGCGCCAGAAGGAGGAGCTGCTCACCCAGCAGCACAAGGCCTTCTGGGAGGAGGCCGAGCGCTTCGGGAGGGGTGAGCGAGCTTCTGCAGGGCCTGGGCCCCCGGGCCGTGGGCCATGGTGGGCAGGGCGGAGCTTAGGGACCTGGGGGGGTGAAGGTTTGTGTCGTGTCACCCGGCCTCCCCTGACCCACCCACACATCCCCACACTCCCCAGGAACCGCCCCTCGTTTATCTCCTGGTCAGTTTGCAGCCGCCCCGCACAGCAGCTAAATAAAACCTCTGTGGCATCCCGAGCCTTGGCCCAAGGGGAGGTGGGGGTCCCCCCGTCAATGCGGGGCCCCGGGCTCGGAGAGGCCAGGCTCCTAAGGCTGGCCTTTGGAAGCAGATGCCCGAATGATGAAACGAGTGAAACGGAATTCGCCCCTCAGTTTCGCCCCCTCCTCTTGCTGGCGGAAGAAGCCGGTGAAAGCTCCGGCAGGAGAGTCACCTGTGACGTCCTGTGGCTTATTTCGATTTCAGAGTTTGCCCAGCGAGTCAAAGATCTGGTCGAGGTGTCACGGGTTCGCCAGGTGGAGGGGACGGCGGAGCTCACACTGGCCCAGGAAGAGGAGCGGAGGAGCGTCCTGGAGGCGCAGCTGACCTCTGACCCCGAGGAGCTCCTGCAGGTGACCCTGCTCCTGATTTACCTGCCATGTCAGTGGGCACGCTCATCCCGGGAGCAGCCATGCAGGCTGACCATGGTGTGGCCCAGTCCAGGCTACTGTGCATGGGGTGCTGGGGGCTTTGTCATCCGACAGATGGGAGGGTGATTCTTGGCCTCCCCTGGGTCCACCCAGTGGCCTTGGCCAAGTCCTCTGAGCCCTGTGTCCCTAGCTTGCTTGTCTGCATGCCAGTGGCAAGGGCTCACTGGGTGGGTCTCCCAGGGCCTGGGCCGTGGTCTCCAGTAGCTGAATCTGAGGATGCTGTCGGGTGGCTTGTGTCCGGGAGAGAGCAGCCATGGGTAACCTGGCAGCACCTCTCCTCCGGGGCTGGACAAATCACAGCCTGAGGTTTTCCTGGAAGCCCGGCTCACTGGTCCTTGCCTTGGCCTCAGCGTGCAAGCCACAGAAGCCACGTGACCCCGCGCCTCACTTTTCTCGTGTATAAATCAAGGGTGAACATCCTTTTGATCTGAGAGGCAGGGGTCAGGTGGTGAGATTTTTCTGGGCGCAAAACTGCATTTTTCTGTCACATTCAACCTGTTTTTACTCACAGGCTTTTCACGGGGTCCTGGAGAGGCAGAGGGCGAGACGCAGTGACCTGGAGGACGAGGAGACCTTCAGGACCACCGAGGCCGCGGCTGCGCTCTGCCAGGTATGTGGCCTCCCGGCGAGCCCGGCTGAGCCTCAGGATCTGAGTGTGCGTGAGAACTTCACGCCCTCCTGGGCCCGGGACCCCGAAGGCCCAAAGGGACCTGCCGTATGTTTTCCAAGGACTGTGCGGACGGTGGCCTGTAGGGGGCAGAGCTGGGAGCAGGGAGACTGGGGAGGCATCGAGGTGGTTCAGGCGAGAGCCACTGGGGCCTGGTGGCAGTGANGGGCCCCCGGGCCGTGGGCCATGGTGGGCAGGGCGGGGCTTAGGGACCTGGGGGGGTGAAGGTTTGTGTCGTGTCACCCGGCCTCCCCTGACCCACCCACACATCCCCACACTCCCCAGGAACCGCCCCTCGTTTATCTCCTGGTCAGTTTGCAGCCGCCCCGCACAGCAGCTAAATAAAACCTCTGTGGCATCCCGAGCCTTGGCCCAAGGGGAGGTGGGGGTCCCCCCGTCAATGCAGGGCCCCGGGCTCGGAGAGGCCAGGCTCCTAAGGCTGGCCTTTGGAAGCAGATGCCCGAATGATGAAACGAGTGAAACGGAATTCGCCCCTCAGTTTCGCCCCCTCCTCTTGCTGGCGGAAGAAGCCGGTGAAAGCTCCGGCAGGAGAGTCACCTGTGACGTCCTGTGGCTTATTTCGATTTCAGAGTTTGCCCAGCGAGTCAAAGATGTGGTCGAGGTGTCACGGGTTCGCCAGGTGGAGGGGACGGCGGAGCTCACACTGGCCCAGGAAGAGGAGCGGAGGAGCGTCCTGGAGGCGCAGCTGACCTCTGACCCCGAGGAGCTCCTGCAGGTGACCCTGCTCCTGATTTACCTGCCATGTCAGTGGGCACGCTCATCCCGGGAGCAGCCATGCAGGCTGACCATGGTGTGGCCCAGTCCAGGCTACTGTGCATGGGGTGCTGGGGGCTTTGTCATCCGACAGATGGGAGGGTGATTCTTGGCCTCCCCTGGGTCCACCCAGTGGCCTTGGCCAAGTCCTCTGAGCCCTGTGTCCCTAGCTTGCTTGTCTGCATGCCAGTGGCAAGGGCTCACTGGGTGGGTCTCCCAGGGCCTGGGCCGTGGTCTCCAGTAGCTGAATCTGAGGATGCTGTCGGGTGGCTTGTGTCCGGGAGAGAGCAGCCATGGGTAACCTGGCAGCACCTCTCCTCCGGGGCTGGACAAATCACAGCCTGAGGTTTTCCTGGAAGCCCGGCTCACTGGTCCTCGCCTTGGCCTCAGCGTGCAAGCCACAGAAGCCACGTGACCCCGCGCCTCACTTTTCTCGTGTATAAATCAAGGGTGAACATCCTTTTGATCTGAGAGGCAGGGGTCAGGTGGTGAGATTTTTCTGGGCGCAAAACTGCATTTTTCTGTCACATTCAACCTGTTTTTACTCACAGGCTTTTCACGGGGTCCTGGAGAGGCAGAGGGCGAGACGCAGTGACCTGGAGGACGAGGAGACCTTCAGGACCACCGAGGCCGCGGCTGCGCTCTGCCAGGTATGTGGCCTCCCGGCGAGCCCGGCTGAGCCTCAGGATCTGAGTGTGCGTGAGAACTTCACGCCCTCCTGGGCCCGGGACCCCGAAGGCCCAAAGGGACCTGCCGTATGTTTTCCAAGGACTGTGCGGACGGTGGCCTGTAGGGGGCAGAGCTGGGAGCAGGGAGACTGGGGAGGCATCGAGGTGGTTCAGGCGAGAGCCACTGGGGCCTGGTGGCAGTGAGGACGCCTGGGACCAGGGTCTGTTTTGATGGTCAGTATCTCAGTCTCCTCTGTTAAAATGGGGACAGGAGGCATTCTTCATAGGATTATCCAGAGGGTTAAACGAGCCTGCATGTGCAGAGCATGGAAATGCATGAGGCCCAGCATGAACGTTCAAAACGAGTTACGACCGTCACTGTTGTCGCTGTCTAGGAGGGCACGCATGCACCGGAGGGTGCGTTTGCACAGGATACGCTCACAAAGTAGCTGGCCTTGCAGCGTGGCTGGCTGTCTCCCAGCCCCAGCCCCAGCCCCAGCCCCACAGAGGCATAATCCTTCCCTTTCTTTGGGCGAGACACCCATCGTGATATTGTGGGCACTGTGGCTGTGAGATAAATTTGTTGCTCACCTCACAGTTCTCAGGCTGCAGAAAAAAGTGCATTTTTCTAAATTCCCACTGTCTCCCGACCTTTCAACAAACAATAGAGCCTCAGCTTGGCTGAGTCGGATGCTGCTAAATTGCACGTCTCGGAGGCTCAGGAAGAGGCTTCAGAACCAGCCCAGAGCCGCCCGTGAGGACGGTGCGGAGCCGGCGCCGCTTGCTTCCTGGAATTTCACTTCCCACCGTCCTGCCCACGCTGTTTCCCTGCCTGGCTCCCGGGAGAGCGGGGTGAGGAACAGACCTGCCAGGCTTCAGGCTTCTCAGCTGCAGGTTCTCACAGAGTCAGGGTGCGGAAAATAAGAGAACATGAAACTCTGTCCTCAAAGAAGGCAGCGATATTGGGCACTTATGAAGTGTTCAGGAGTAGTCTCCACGACATCCCTCACTTCTGGTACCAAATGCAAACTCAAGTGTCCCCAAGGCCACCCTCCCGCTCTTTGACTCTCTAAAGGACTAGCTCTGCAAGCTGTTCTCACGGTTACGGGTTATTACGGCAGGAGGTACAGGCTAAAGTCAGCCAGAGACGGGGCCCATGGGTCAGAGCCAGAGTCCTCAATGTGAAGCTTCCGGTGTCCTCTCCCGTGGGAGCTTGGGCAGCAATAGCCTCCTGACAGCGATGTGTGACATTATACACTGCGTATCGCCAACCACGGAAGCTCCCTCGAGCCTCGGCGTCCACGGTTTTTATCGGGACGCAGTCACATAGACACCGTCGACCACCCGTGTGGCCGGCCTTAACCCCCAGTCCCTTGCAGGCGGAGCTGATACCACCTGGCCCATGGCTCCCACCCTAAATCACACCATTATCCCAGACTACCTGAGGTGGCCCAGGATCCCCAGTAATCAAAGGGAGGACACTCCAAGAGCGTAGAGGTCACCTCCCGGGAGCCAGGGCAAAGGCCAGGCCTCTCTTTCAACAAGGTCAGTCCTTTGGTGCCCAGCAGTGAAAGGTTAAGGTATTTTGCTCAAGGAAACTCAGCTGGGGAGCCTGGGATTCGGGCCTGGGGCCCATAACATTCAAGGAGGGAGAAGAGATTCAGTGAACAAGAGAAGGGAGAGGGAATCGGCCACAACTGATGAGTGAACGAGGGAATCGATTCTGAAGACAGGGTGTTAGTTCGCTATGGCTGCTGCAACAAATGAACACAGACTCCCTGGCTAAAAACAACACAAAGTTATTACCTTCTAGCTCTGGAGAGCAGAGTCCAAAGTGGGTGTCCCTGGGCTAAAGCGAAGGTACCAGCAGGGCCGCATTCCCTCTGGAGGCCCCGAGGGAGAATCCGTTGCCTTGACGCCTCCGACTCCTGGGAGCGCCCACATTCCTTGGCTCGTGGCCCCTCCTGCCTTAGAGCCAGAGATTTTGTGCTCCTGCCTCTGGTCCCACCATCCCACCTCCTCTCACTCTGACCTCCTGCCTCCCTCTCTTACTGACAAGGACCCTGTGCTTCCATTGGACTCACCTGGGTAACCCAGGATCATTTGCCCGCCTCAGGGCCCTTAACTCACACCTGCACAATCTCTGACCAGGCAGGGTGGCGTATCCCAGGGGTTCGAACATGGACACCTTGGGGAGCCATTATTTTGCGTACATTTGTTTGGAAACTGTTTCCAAAGAGTAAAAAAAAAATTAGGTTTCGTAGAAATACCAAAACAACGGTTTTCTGGGCAGGAATCTATTGGAGGTAGGTCTTGAGGAGGAAATGATAGAACCGTGGGCACCAGGTGGCCCGTGTCCCTGAAAAGAGGGTTTCCGTGGTACGGGTGAGGGCCAGTCAGTTTGCTCGGTCCTTTGTCAAGGTTGAAGGGCGGCGAGTCATCGCGAAGGATGCTGAGGCTGAGGAAAACCGACTGGCACATCCCGTGCGCTGCTCTGGCAGCAGGCCAAGGCCGCCCGGCTCTTTGTTTTAACTTCATGTAGTTATTGGAGCAGCTAAATTGTTTTCTATATTTGAGGAAGTAAAACTCGCCAGTGCCTTCATGGTACTATCTGCCAACCGATTACGCCCCCTCCTTCCTTTTAGTAATTTTCCCAACCAGCTCACCTTGCAAAGAGACGCAAAGGTGCAAAGGAGAGAAGAGTTGCTGGGGAGCAGACAGACCAGGAGTGGGCCCTTTCTGGCTGTGTACCCGCTGTGTGGCCCTGTGTCTTATCACCTAACCTCTCTGATCCAGGAATTCCTAGCTGCGTTCCTTGTCGGTTGATCATATCAAAAAAACCCCTCTTTGAATTTTGACACCCAAAATTGCTACCCGTAGCCCTTAGGATGAAGTCTTAACACCCTTAACCTAGCCTGTGATGACCACCCAGCCTGGGCTGTGACTCTCCCACATGACCTGACACATGAGACCCATCTGACTTGGCCCAAAAGACCCACCCCGTCTGACCCATGAGGCCCACCCAGCCCGGCCCATAAGCCCTCCTGATGTGGCCCACAAGGCACCCATGACCTGGCCCACCCACCACCTATCTGGAGTAATATCCCTCGCTTGCTTCCTTTCAGCCAACCTCAGACATTCCTCAGTTCCCCAAATGTGCCCCAGTCAGGGCACATACCCAGGTTGTGGGTTCAGCCCTCAGTTGGGGTGCAAGTGGGAGGCAACCAATCGATGTTTCTCTCTTTCTTTCCCCCTCTGTCTCCCTGTCTCTAAATATGTCCTCAGGTGAGGATTTTAAAACAAACAAAAAAAAGGAATATATGTAGGTTCAGTCCATTTTCTCCATAGTTATTGATCCAGCCACCAGTCTGATTAGCATTGGTAATTTATAAATATTTTGGTTAGAATTAACATCTTTACAGTATCAATCTTCCAAACCAGAAATGTGGTATATCCTTACATTTATTTGTCTTATTTAATTTTTCTTAATATTGTTTTATAGTTTCCGCCCTCAGGTATTATGTTTGCTACAGTTTTCTTTTTTTTTTTCAGATTATTTTGCTAAAACTGTTTCTTATGCATGGAAATTAAATTTTATAAAATGTTTATTCCCCATCTAGTCACTGAATCATCACATTTTTCTGCTCTGTTAATGGGGCAAATTGCGTTGGTTTGGGTAATGCCATTAAGTGCATACAAATTTAGACTTTTACATCTTTCTGCTGAGTTAAACCTTTTAGCATTACTAGAAGTAAACCCCTTTATTTCTAGTCACACTTTTTTTCCTTAAAGACTGTTTCATCTACCATTAATGTAGCAAAAAGTTACCCTACATTTACTAGGTTCTGGCTATACACTCATTCATTCATTTACTCATTCATTTTCAAAAAAATTTTCTAAGGTGATAGGTGCTGGAGACCAAGTGCCAGGGCATCATACTTAAACTTGTATGGTTTTTAGCCTCTCTTTTACTGTACAGATGAAGCCTCAGTTTCCTCACCTGTAAATTTTTTTCATCAATTTTGGGAAATTTCTAAGCTAGTATCACTTCAGATACTGCTTCTACCTGGGCTCTCCCTTCTCTCCTTTGGAGACTCCAATTAAAAATGTTAGATTTTTTCGTTGTGTCTTTTCTGCCTTTATCTTCTCCATGTTTTCCATCCTTAGTCTCTCCTTATTTTGCTGTGGATTTCCTCCTGATCTATCTTCCAGCATACTAATTCTCTCTTCAGCTGCATCTAGCTGCCATTAAACCTGTACATTGGGTTCATATTCCTCAACTCTAAAAATTCTCATTGGTTCTTTTTAAACTAAGCAGTGTTACTTTTTATAATTTCCAGCTCTTTGCTGCAAGGTTTAAGAGTGGCTCTGGCCATCATGAGCATAGAAAGCACTGATACTTTAAAGTCCATGTCTTGTAATCACACTCCTTGGTTTGACGTGGAACTCCGTCACGTGGCTCTCTCGGTTTCAGGAGCTGTACCGAAGCACCGTGGAAACGTTCCAGACGTTTGTGGACATCCTGTTCCTGCAGACGCTCCCGGGTGTGACCGGCCTCTCGCGGGCAGAGTGTGAGTACCTGAGGCAGGAGGCCCAGGAGAACGCCGCCCTGCAGCTGGGGAAGTCGGATCGCTTCCGCAAGCAGCAGTGGAAACTATTCCAAGAGCTCCTGGAGCAAGAGAAGCAGGTGCGGGCATTTTGTAAAACTGGGTCTATTTTGTAAAACTACTGACAGCCTACTGTTGACCAGAAGCCTTAGTGATAACACAAACAGTCAATTAATACGTTATATGTATAATATACTGTTCTCTTACAATAAAGTACGCTAGAGAAAAGAAATGTTAAGAAAAGTATAAGGGAAGAGAAAATACATTTAGAGCATTTATTGAAAAAAAATCCACGTGTAAGTGTAGTTGAAACCCGTGTTGTTCAAGGGTCTCCTGTAAATAGAAGCAGCACTTTGCAGACACATGGCCATTCGCAGCTGTGGCGGGCACAGCGCCTGTCCGTTTCTTAGACCTTCCAATTCACTTCTGTCCTCTGCCGGCTCATCACGTTGCCCCGTCATCCGTAACTTGTCTTCCTGCTGCACTGGCCTCTGAGCCCCTGCTTTGCATGTTTCCTTTCCCTATTCAAAGCCCAGGGCCGGGGTGTAGCAGATGCCTACAAAGGGAAACTTTGCTACATTTATGGTAACAATGGTGCAGCTTCGGGAAGGATCAGAGGTCACCTTGAGCCTGTACTCTTCCAGGGGATGCAGATGCAGCTGAATGCCTGTGATTCTTCCCAATCCTGGGCCTGGGGAGGGAGAGGGACCCTGGGCCTCGGTGGTTGGGAGCGCTCACCAGGCCAGTCTGATGTCCCTCTCAGGTAGGTTTCCAGATGGGGGTGGGGGCCTTTTAGAGACAGGCCCCTAACCTCGGAAGCTGAATGCCTGGGTTTGAACCACAGCAAAGCCATTCAGGGACTGGGTGACGTTACCAGTTAGCAGACCTTGCACGACTTGTTGAGTGTCTCAGAACCACAGCTTCTGTGTGAAGAAATAGGGACCAAAATGCCCAGCAGGGCTCCTGCGAGGTCAGGCACATTAAGGCCTTTTGCACAGTGCTTGGTCACCTGATGAGGTGACATCAAAAAAAGCAGGATTTCATTTCTGATAAATTGTCAGACAAACACCTATGATTCATCTAAAATGCTCTGGTTATGAGTCTCCAGTTATTTTAGGCAAGTAGCAGACTATGCGTAGCTTCTGGTTTTTACTTTTATTTATTTGCTTGTGAGTATATGCATGCTTGTCAATTTTCCGTGGCTTGTGCAGAAGCATTTTGAGGGGATTTTACATGCAAGAAGCAAGCAGGATAGTTAATGGCCTCATCAGCTGATTAAATAAATACGGCCGCAGACTGCTGTCATATTTAATTTACTGATTGACTAGTTAATTGCCTTAACTTACCACAGGATATTTAGAGGTCCGTGTTCTCCCACTTTCCATATGTCCTGGTTGACAGTGAAAATGAGAGATGAACTTTCTGTTCATCTGAAAATTTAGTCTTGAGAAGAAAAACCCCAGCAGGACTATTCATGGAAAAGTAAACCCACACCCAGACGATCAAATGCATTCGCCACATTTCCTACCCAAAAGGCCTTGGTAATGCCGTGTCCTGCTCTCAGGGAAGCTGTCCCCATCCTCATGCCCAGAAGCTGTGAGCGTGAAACCTAACCTGGCAATAGGGACTTTGCCGATGTGCTAAGGATCTTGAGGTGGGAGAGGACCCTGGGTTGTCCAGGTGGGCCCAGTGTAATCATGAGGGTCCTTGTAAATGAAAGTGGGAGTCAGGAGAGTCAGAGGGATGCAATGTGGGGACACTCAGCCCCCCAGTGCTGGACTTGAAGGTGGAAGAGGGGCCACCAGCCGAGGAAGGCAGGCGCCTCGGGAAGCAGGACAAGGCAAGGAAAGGACTTTCCCTATAGAGCTTCCGGAAGGAATGCGGGCCTGCAGGCCCCTTGGATTTTATCCCCTGGAGCCCCCATTCCAGACTTCCGATCCCAAGAACTGTAAGATAGTAAGTTTGTTGTTTTAAGCTACCAAGTTTGTGGTCATTTGTTACAGCAGCCCTTGGAAGCTGATACGCCTGTCCGCAAGCGTCTGCATCTTTAACAGGGAGCGTGGCAGGTGGCACTCTAGCCTAATGGTGAAGACACCACGGCTGCAGTCAGTCTGCCCGGTTTCCATCCTGGCTCCACCTCTCACTGCCCCCCGCGAACCCCACTCCAGGCAGGTTTCCACCACCTGACCCCCAAACCTGCTCCCGTCTGTGCCGAGCTCTCAGGCCCACCCTCGCCGCACTCACAGCAGCACCCGGCTAAGCTGGGGTCCCCTCCTACGCGGAACGCTGGCCTGACTCCTGCTTGTCCCGCTGCCTGGAGGGATGGTGGCTCCTCTCCCTGCCGAGTGAAGGTTGGGCCCAGGTGCTTGGTGCAGCCTGTGTTCCATCGAGTTCCGTGTGCAGCGTGCGCCCCCTTCGGGCTGCTGGGGGTAGCGCCCTTTGAGCAGCGACAGGGGGAAAGGGAAGGACCTTAACGATCAAGTCCCTCTGCCTGAGCTGGGCCTATGTTCTCCTGCGGCTGCGAAATAGTCAGCGAGGAGCACGGCAGGGCCCGGAAAGACGTGGCTTTGGAGAAAGACAGGCCTAGATTGAGTCCCTGCCCCACTTTTTAAATTTATTTGCTATGTGTGGCCTTGGACTTCACAGGGTTTAAAGTCACATTGAAGATGAGCTAACATCCAAAATTACAAAACACACAGGAACAATCCACCATGAGAGTCAGCACATTCAGCTAGCACCAGGTTCAGATCACGGCAAACACCCGAAACTCACTCAGAGGGAAGACTGTCAGAAAGTGCTTCCAAAGGAAGTGTGTTTAAAACAATACGAAACACAGGAGGAATTCCTAGCCGTAAAGACCAGACACGGCGAAAAGAGACAACAGACTAAAGGCCATGTACTGTTATGAATGAAAATTATAGTCATGAAACGGATGGATGAGTTAAACAGCAGGTTAAATGTGGCTGACGACAGTGTGGGGACTAGAAGATACTGTGAGAAAGTCGCCCGGGGTGCAGAGCCGAGAGCTCAAGAGAAGGGGAGCCTGGCCGGGCGTGGCTCAGTGGTTGAGTGTCAACCTAGGATCCAGGCGATCGGGGTTCGATTCCTGGTCAGGGCACATGCCCGGGGTGCGGGCTCGATCAATGACTCTCTCATCATTGATGCTTCTATCTCTCTCTCCCCCTCTCCTTTCCTCTCTCTGAAATCAATAAAGATATATTAAAAAAAAAAAAAAAAAAAAGAGAGAAGGGAGCATGAAAGTGGGTAGGAGGCGTGGAGAACAGGAGAGGGCATCCTCGGGGGGCTTCTCCCAGTCTTATAGGAGTCCCAGGAGGAGCGAATGCAGAGGAGGAGGGAGGGGTGATACTCAATGTAATACCGCCTGGGACGTTTTCCCTTAGTGACAGATCGAGTCATAAGGTAAAGGGGACGTTGATTAACTTTACGTTCTATGGGGTCAGGACTGTATGTTGGAAATTTAAACTCACTGAGGGTGTAGAAATAGAATATGGAACTGTCAGAGCCAGGGAGGACATCAAAGGGAATACACAAAATTAAAAATAGTATTGACCCGAGGAGCATCCGTGCTTTAAAAAATGAGGACTTTAGAAAATCGGGGCAGAACCAGACTAACAGAGGGTAATGTCACGGAGGTGGAGAGAAGGTTGGGCTTGTATTTCTCCTGTTTGGAGGAGGGAAGGATTAGCTCTAGTTCCCCATTTGTCCCACCGCAGGTGCGCTCCCAGGGGTCTTTAACCGGGGCGCATTGGCCCGGAAAGTACGAGAGTATATGACTTTCAAAGACAGATTTAGAAAGATGGCAATTCTGTCCAAATTAATCAGCGTCATCCAGCTCAATTACAAGAAAAAAACACACAACCTGTTTTCCAAAACTTGCTAAATGGATCCTAAAATCCGTATGAGAGGAAGAACAGCCAAGAATAGCTGAGACAGTTTTGTACAAGAGAATATGGGAGGCCTCGCCTGGCAGCTGTGAAGTCTTGCTGTGAATGAGAGCTGGAAAGCAGTGTGGTGCGGCTGCAGAAACAGACAGTCCCACGGAGTAAAAGAGCAGAGGAGGAGGTGAAGGTATATATGGAAACTATGAATCTATGGAAACTCTGTGATACAAGGTGGCAGGGCAGCCAGTCATAGGAAGATAAACTATCCAACACAGGTGCTGGCACAATCAGTATCCACGTGTCCGGAGGAAATTTGATCCCTTCCTCACACCACAGAAAATAAGTGTTCAGTGCTTTACACTGCAAATGCAACTAGGAAAATTTTCAAGTCTTTAGAAGGGAATATAAGAGAAAATGTTAATGAAATCAGGCAAGAAGGGTTTTAAACAAGAAATAAGAGCCCGGCTGGGCGTGGCTCAGTGGTTGAGCATTGACCTAGAATCCAGGCGATCAGAGTTCGATTCCCGGTCAGGGCACATGCCCAGGTGTGGACTCGATCCCCAGTCGGGTCTCATTGATGTTTCTATCTCTCTCTCCCCCTCTCCTTTTACATATATATATATATATATCCTTTTACAAAGATATATATATGTAAAAAAAAAAAAAGGAAGAGATAAGAGGCAGGTTCCAACACAGTGGTGATGGATGAGATGAACTCGAGCTGACCCTTTCCCTCTGTCTGGGGTCTAGGTGTGGATGGAAGAGCATGCGCTGTCCACTGAACTGCAGACACACCTGCGGGACAACCATGAGAGCATCATCCGCAACGTGCTGGGCCGGCTTGGTGGCCTCACTGAAGAGTGAGTACAGGGTTGGGACCTTGCATCCTGTGTGACACTCCACCCTATTCCTCACCTGTAAGATAGACACACTGACTGCCCTGTCTGTTAGTGTGGTGTGATTATTGGGGCATTTCCTGATAGCTCAGTGTATTAGGGTTCTCCAGAGGAACAGAGCCAAGGAGATGTGTGTATATGTGTATCTATCTATTTATCGTCTTTACCTATCATCTATCATCTATCTACCTACCTACCTATCTACCTATCTATCCCTATAGAGACAGCAAGAGGGGAGAAAGGAGCTGAGAGGTAACAATACCCGCAGTTGGCAAACTGGAGACTCGTAAGAGCCCATCATAGTCCCAGTCCTGAGCCTGAAGGTCTGAGAACCAGGAGAGCTGGTGGTGTCGGGTGCAGTCAGGAAGCCGCAGGCTAAGGCAGGGGAAGAACCAGTATCTCAGTCTGTGTCCAAAGGCAGAAAAAGGTGATGTCCCTGCTCAGTGCAGGCAGACAGGAGCAGTTCCCTCTCATTTGGGGGAGGCTCAGCCTTTCTCTACTTCAAGCCTTCAACTGATTAGACAGAGCCCACCCATATCAGGAAGGGCAATCTGCTTTACTCAGTCTGCCGATGTAAATACTGATCTCATCCAGAAACACCCAGAACAATGTTGGGTCAGCTGTCCAGGCAGCCGTGGCCCAGTCCAGCTGACACATAAAATTAACCATTGCACTCAGAGAAGCCAGGAGCATTGACCCACAGCCCCTGCCCGCTCTCCCCAAAGGTCTACGCGGTACATCCTGCAGGGACACGAGCTGCTCCTGCGCTCGGCGCTCCGGAGGCTGGCCCTGCGCAGCAGCGCCGTCGCCACCCTGACACACATGCGGCTGTCCAGCAAGAGGAGCCTTCTGCAGGAGCTGCGCGAGCAGCACGCCCTGGAGCAGGGCTCCTCCCAGTGCCTGGACGAGCACCAGTGGCAGCTGCTCAGAGCCCTGGTGAGAATTATACTGAAAATGCACATGAAAGCAGAGCGGGGACGGGTGGGTTGTCATCAGGAGATTGCAAAGAAGGGGCCCTGTAATCTGTTTTAAGGTTTTAACAAATCCAAAGAAAGAATTTGTCAGTTACAGGGCTGGGATTTAAACCCAGGCAGGCTGACTCCAGGTCTCAGGCAGCCACGGAGCTATCAGAGTAGCGGGTGTTTTCTGACCCACTGGTGAAGGACAAGCTCACACCCTTTCGTTCTGCCCAGGAGAGCCCAGTGGGAAGCAGGCTGCCCCACCTCTGACCCCTCCCCTCCTCCTCTGACTCACGTTCCTACAAGGAAAGCAGACCCCAGGGCCCCATATTCCCTGCTTTGGCCTCCATGATGCCCCAGATCACTCTCAGACTCAGATCTGGTTTCAGAACCCAGCTCTGCTGTGTGACTTTTAGACAGTCACTTAACATCTCTGAGCCCCTGTCCTCATCGCTCCCAAGGACATTCTTGTATGTGTGACAGGCTGCAGGTGGCGCTGGGCACACAGTTGGTGCTCCCCAAATGCCTTGGGTTGGGGGCACCTTCCACAGGCACCTAGCTCATCCATTGTCTTGGGGTTTGCAAGCCCAGGCGCCTCCACTTTCTGCCTCTTCTCCATCCCTTCCCCAACTTTCCTGGGGCTCTGAGCAGGTGGACCAATGTCCTGGTCCTGGTGCCTGTGCCGGCCGGGCTCCTGTGCCGGGCAGCAGCCTGGGCTCCCCCCTGCCCTGCTGTCCGTTGCAGGAGGCGCGCGTGCAGGAGGAGACCTGCAGGCTGGAGGAAGAGCTGCAGCAGACTCGGCTGCAGCTGCAGCAGCAGCTCCTGGCCGAGGCCCAGGAGGCGGGGCGGCTCCTCCAGCAGCACACAGAGCGGGCCGTGGGGCAGGCGCTGCTGGGGCACGCACGGACGGCCGCCACCAAGAGCCGGGCCAAGGACCGGGAGGACTTCAAGGTGTGTGCCAGCCCCCATCCCTGGGAAACCTGAAGGCAAGAGGATGGGGGGGCAGGGGCAGATGAGGAGGGATTTGGACAGAGCAGCCGCCTGGGCGCCGTACTTGCTGTCCCCTCCCAGGAGCTTTTGGTCTTGCAGAGGTTGCCCACCATCTGATGAAGGTAACCTGGACCCTCGGTAGGGATGCTAACCCCCCATCAAGTCTCCAGTGATGGGCACCTCTGCATTTCCCCGCTTTCTGCTTTGGGTCAGAGGCATATCACAGAGGAATGAATATAACTGCAGGTAGCAGAAAGTCCTCCAAAAATGACTCAAATAAATAGAAGTTACTGCCTGGCCGGCGTGGCTCAGTGGTTGAGTGACGTCCCATGCACCAGGAGGTCAGGGTTCGATTCCCAGTCAGGGCACATGCCCGGGCCGTGGGCTCAATCCCCAGTAGCAGGGGTGCAGGAGGCAGCCGATCAATGTTTCTCTTTCGTTGATGCCTCTCCCTCGCCCTTCTGNGGGCCGTGGGCTCAATCCCCAGTAGCAGGGGTGCAGGAGGCAGCCGATCAGTGTTTCTCTTTCATTGATGTCTCTCCCTCGCCCTTCTGCTCTCTCTAAAATCAATAAAAACATATTTCAATAAATAGAAGTTACTCATCCCACATAACAAGCCGTGTGGAGGTAGGTGGTTCCCGGCTCAGGGGCTCTGCGATGAGACCAAGGCCCAGGCTCTTCCTTTCTGACCCACGATTCTCAGTGTTAGTTGGTTGCCTCAGAGTCTCAAAGTGGCCCCCGGCCCTCCAGACACCAGATCCGCATCCCAGGACTGAAGAGGAAAGCGGCAAAGTCTTTGACTTGCACTGAGGCTTCGCCTTCATGTTCGGAAAGGGAAGCCCCCTCCCCCGGCTGACTCCCTAATATTGCATCTGACTGGCTGGGGTCCCACACCCAGCCCTAGACCGTCCCTGACCAAGGGAAATAGCACAGGGTGGAGCAAAGGGAGGTTTGCAGTTGTGAGTACATGAAACACAGAGTTTATTCCTGGGTTATTCTTTACTGATTATTGTAGTGTTTTCCGTATGAACAGCTTCAGGCCTACTTTCGCCCCACCCTGTGTTACCGACTGGTTTAAACCGACCACACACTCCCTGCCTGCTCCCCACCAGTCAGGGTTGGGAGTGGCTGGGAGACGGGAGCTGGGGCTCCGGGGGGTGGGGGGCACGCAGCATGCGACCTCCCGCTGAGTCCTGTCCCTCCTGCCCGCAGAGGACGCTGCTGGAGGCGGCCGTGGAGAGCGTGTACGTGACCAGCGCCGGCGTGGGCCGGCTCACGCAGGCCTATTACCAGCAGGTTGGGAGGGTCATGCAGGCCCACGAGGACCGCAGACTGGAGCAGCTGCAGACCCTGCAGGGTACGGCACCCCGGGGGGAGCCCCGCAGCCAGGAGCCGGGCCCGCTCAGAGTTTTCCAATTTTATTTTTGGAAATCTTCTGTTTTTAATGTTTCTTTTGCTTACTTATCCCGTTTTGTCCCCAAAAGCCTCTTTAAAAGGCACTTAAAGAAACACATGTATATAGTAAAGCAGGATTTTTTAAAATAGGTGAATCGGGGCAGTCAGATGGAGTTAGGTGAGGCCCTTACCTGGGACATACTTCGTGGTCATCAGATTTCTACTAAGTGGTGACATGGTTTTGGCTCTGGGCTTCCTGGTGGCCGGAAAGATGGAAACGTCTTCGATTAAAGCTCTCGCAGTGACTGTGAATGAGAACAGGCCGGTGGCCCATCCAGGGCTCCCCAGACCCAGAGAGTTTTCCCCGGGGGCTCTCGTGAAGGGTGACCCTGGGAAACGGCGTGGACAGTACCCCCAAGGCCAGCAGTGGCGTTGTGTATTAATGGACAAATGCCAACTTCTCCAAGGCCACTTTTTGTAACATCCTTCCCTGCCTCGGGCCTCAGAACAGGGTCCCCTCGTTCTCTGGAGGGCCGCGCCTGGACTGTCCCAGGGCCGGAGGTGGACCTGGCCCGAGATGAGCGCTGGGCAGCGGGCCTGGGGCGGGCTTCTGTGAGCGCGGTCCCTCCCAATGAGCTCAGCCGCGCCCCTGTCTTCCCCGTCCTGGGGAATTTGAACCCTAGATTTAAATAAAATCTGGGCCATGCCCAGAAATATGCCAGCCCTACAGACCCTTCATTACGGCTTTCCAGAGTAAGGGTTGGTCTTGCCCAGTGGGAGACAGCCGGGACCGGGAAATTCAGGACCAGGGTGCTCACATCCCCATTTGAGGCCTCAGTTTCCCCATCTGTGGGACTAGGGTTCAGCCAACCCTCCATGTGCTCAGTTCCTGCTTCCCTGATACCCCAGCTCTGATGTGGGGGTTGCCCAGTGAATGAACTGATACAGTGTAACTGAGCTTAACGGGCCCCATTAACGTCTCATTTTTTTCTTCATTCCTCAAATTATTTTTTATTTAAAACTCACAGAATGTCATAGCCCTGGAGACCATCCAGTTAAACCTCCCTCTAGGGCTAGAAAGCTCAGGTCCAGCGAGGTAGGTGGCCTGCTGGACAACTAGTTGCCACACCTGCCTCGCTGTGAGTTAAGTGTGACAACTAGGCAAGTGTCGAAGCAGTTAGGTATAGTGACTAGTTAGGTGGGTGGCTAGTTAGGCGTGGCAGCTAGGTCAGGGTAGGAGTCCCCTGCACCTCAGGCTTCAGAGGCCAGACTCCCCAGATCCTTGGGAAGCACCCACTTCAGCACCCACATCGGTAAAGGGAGCATCTGTCTCGCGCCCGCAGCTCTGCGTGCCGGACCGCTCCTCCGCCTGGCGTGGTTTCATCTGTTTGGGGTGTCCTCTGTGTCACATCTTTCTTACATGCCTCCCTTTCTCCTGGAGCAAGAGCGGGGGCCCAGTGGCTGGAGGCAGAGCACGGTTGCTTTCCTGGGGGCCTGCCCGTCTGCGGCGGAGGCCGCGGCATCCTCCCCACCCAGGCCCTCTGGGGTGGACCGCTGGGGCCGTGTCAGTGGCACTCCATGGTGTGTCCTGCTGACCTCTGTACCCAGCACCCGCCTGGACCCGGCACAGGGTCGGTCCTCAAACATGCGTCTGACTGTCATGTGTTCATTTCCAGGAGAGAGAAGGGAGAACTACAAGCTGCGGAAAAAGCAGGAGCTCGGTGACCCTCCGTCGGCGGGCGAGGTGGTGGGCAGAGCTCAGGAAGCCTCCCAAGGCGTCCACCAGAGGTGAGGCCCCCCCAGGGCAAGCTGCCCTGCACGTCACGTGTCTCCCCCAGCCTCGGATGTGGCCTGCAAGGGTCAGCATCCTCGGCTGCCTGGAGGCCCAGCCCTGCCCGCTCCTGGCTCCACACACGGCCCTGCCAGGGCCTGGCACAGGGCATGAGCCGTCGGGCATGAGCCGTCAGGCGTGGCCGGGTTTCCTTTCCAGTTCTCAGTGGCGTTCACAGCCCCGACACAGCACCACCCCTCATTCATACCTTGAGGCCCCCAGAAGCAGACCCGGGCCTGAGGACTGGGGGGGGGTTGTTTATGGGTCGTGGCCCCGGAGGTGCAGGGAAGGAGCAGGAAGGGAGGCAGACAGCGTCCCTGCTGCTTCCTTACCAGGGACCCGCCGCAGACCACGCAGGTAGCAGGTGACCTCACCGTTCTGCAGGTCAGACGCCTGGGCGGTGCTGCTACTTTCCCCGAGGCCCACGTGGCCAAAATCCAGGCGTGCCCGGGCGGGGCCCTGCTTGCAGGCTCTGGGAAGACTGTCTCGGGCTCGCTCAGGTCATTGGCAGCATCCAGTCTCTTGTAGAACAAGTTCCCTGATGTGGCTGTCAGCTGGGGGTCCCCTTGGCCTCCTAGAGGCCTCTCTCTGGTCCCTGCATGTGGCCCCCACATCCCAAGGCAATGCGTCCTGGTCACACCTGGGCTCTCTTTGCCTGAGGATCTCTCCGCCTTCTTCTGCCACATCTCTTGACTCCAGCTGGGGAAACTTCTCTGATTTAAGGGCTCCGGTGATTGAGGCCACCTGGGTAACACAGGGTTGTTTCCAAATCCCAAAGTCATGCCCTAACCAGGACGGCAAAGTCCCAATTGCCACGTAACATCTTCACGGGTTTCAGGGATTAGGGCGTGGACACCTGAGGACATTGTGTGGCCTCCCAAACTGGAGAAAAGCCAGCACCACCTGTGATAAGGAGGGGTTTCCAGGGCAACTGAGGCCCGGAGCACTGACCGCTGCAGTATCACAGCTAGTTGTCCCATGCCTGCCCCCTCCCCGCCCCGGCTCAGTGTGGAGCTCCGTGAAGGCAGGGGCTGAGTCTCACCCCTGCAGCTGCAAAACCCAGCACAGAACCCGGCAGGCCAGAGACACTTTTATGAATGAACAAATAAGTGGACGGGTGGATCGATGGATGGATGATGGGGTCTTGTAGGATGAATAGGAGTTTGCCAGGCAAATAGAAAGAAGAAAGATGTCACTGGCAGAAGAGAGGGTGAAGCAAAAGCAAGGTGGAGTTTTGTGCCTCAGGTACTTCATGGGTGGCTGCCTGTGATGCTGAAGGTGGCTGCTGCCTTCAGGTCTAGAAATTCGGCTCCTCTCAGAAAATCAGCCACAAGAGACCGAGAAGGAGGCAGAGAGCAATCCCGGAAGCAGGGTGATGGGATGGAGGAGGCCAGAGAACCGTCAGCGGAGGAAGGGAGGGCATTCACGCAGGCAGGCGAGGGCTCTGCCCCTGAAAGGGGGGCTCTGTCGGGTCAGGGACCCGCTTTCTGCTCAGTCTGTCCACCGCTTGGAGGCACGGGGCTGCCGGTCTCATGATTTCTCGTATGCGGCTTCCTGGGAAAGGGGCTTCCTGGGAAAGGGGCTTCCTGTTTCACAAGGGAGGGGCTGGGGTGATTCTGCAGTTTTCATGATGGGCCCCACCCGGGGTTAAGATCGTTTTCTCACATGTCCTTGCAGCTGCAGGACCTCAGGACCCCAGAGGGTCCTCCTGCCCCCCCTTTTTCTGCTCTCTGGCCTGCTGATGTCACCAAGCCACTCCTAGGACCCAGTGAAAAACGTGCAGAGACAGTCTGTAAACCCCCCGAGTTAATCACTTCTGTGATGAGCCAGCCTGTCGGGGGGGCTCTCCTGTGGCCGCAGTAAGTCCTGGCCACTCTCTCGTGGCTCTGAGCGCTCAAGGTGGCTACGCTATCGGTCACTAATTCGCAGGACGCAGCCCACTCTGGGGGAAGGTTTGCGCCGGGCCTCTGACCCCCCGCCAGCCACGGCGGCGCTGACGCCTCGATTCCCTCCGCCAGGATGCGGGTGCAGCAGGGGAGGTTCCTGGCCCAGTTCACGGCCCACCAGCGCATCCGCCTGGACACCTGGCAGCAGAGGGCGAGAGGCCTGGACCTCCTGGAAGCGCAGCTGGAGACCCAGCTCCAGGTATGAGCTCGGAGACGCCTGGGCGAGGCAGGGATAGCAGAACACCGGCCTTGTGACCAGAGGCCGGCAGTGGGGCCTTTGCGAGGGGCCTGCACTCCCGCTCGGGCCCCCTCCGCCCTGCCGAGTCTCACTGGCTGGTGATGCGTCAGCCTCGTGGATCTGCTGTGAGCCTGGGGGTCCCACGTGTTTGCAGCGCCCGGCTCAGGCCAGGCCTGGGCGCCGATCGGTCCTGTCCAGTGAGCGTCTCCCTGGGTGGGGTCGGCAGCTCGTGGGCTATCAGTGTCATTTCGGCGGTGTTGCTGGGGACTGAGGCTTGTTCGTGACGTAGAACGTACCAGAAGCTCAGTGCTTGTGCTAGAAAGTGGGCATCTCATCGCAGAAAATTCATCAGTGTGGGATTATAAAGTGAGGCTGTGAGGCCAATCGATCGCCTTTAAAGAAAACCAGATATTGCAGAGTGGAGGCGGCTGTGAGAGTGTCGGGCCCCGTCAGAGTATGCGCCACGAATGTGGTATCGATGGTGGTGACAGCAACGAGAATGATGGTGACGGTGGTTAACATTTACTGAGGGCCTGTTATTTTAAATTGTTTGTTAAGCCTCGCCTGAGGAGTGAGGATATTTTTCCATTGGTTTTTAGAGAGTGGAAGGGAGGGGAGAGAGAGAGAGAAACATCGATATGACAGAGACACATCGATTGGTTGCCTCCCACAGGCGCCCCAACCTGGGCGGGGATCTGACGTGCAAGCCACATACGCGCCCTTGACCAGGAGTCGAACCCATGACCCTCCAGTGTCTAACCACTGAGCTACACCAGCCAGGGCCAGTGAGGGTCTGTGATACACTCACTGGCTGAGAGGGCCACCTGTACCACCTAATGTCCTCCAGCCCAGGAGCAGGTTCCTACTAGGATCCCACTTACAAATGGGGAAACTGAGGCTCTGGGAGGTTGAGTCACTATCCAGGGTCACACTGTTATAAGCCATGGATCCAGGTTTGTGTGGTTAAACCCCAGGGCTGGGAGTTTTGAACTGAGACTGGAGTCAGGCAGGAGTGGGTGAGCTCCTGGGCCAGCCGCCGTCACCTCCGTGGCCCTCGTGGCCCGCCTCACCTCAGTGCCCTCGTCTGTAGACTGGGGACCCGTGGCCAGTGTGAGGAGGGGTTACCTGGCAGGAGCTGGTTAATGTTGGCTCCCTCCCTTCCACTGCCTCTGCCCTGCCCCTGACCTCCCTGGAGGCTTCCGGGAAAGTTCTCCACGCCGGGGACATGCCCCTCAGCTGCCCTGGAGGCATCAGCCCCATCCTGGTGCAGGGATTCAGAGGGAGGCCTGCTGATCGCCTCGCTTTGCATTCAGGAGGCCGAGCAGAGCTTCATCTCCGAGCTGGCGGCCCTGGCCCGGGTGCCCCTTGCCGAGAGCAAACCGTCCTCGAGTAAGCGTGGACCGTCAGGTAAGTCATGGGAGGTGGCTGGGAATATGGGTTCCAGTCCCATGGCCACCACTAACTAGCTATGTGGCCTGTGGGCACTGTACTTACCCTCTCTGGGCTTTCCTGTTCTTATCTGTAAATGAGCGGCCTCAGTTAGCTCATCCCTGGGGCCTCCTTGCTCTCCGGGGATCAGTAATTCCAATTCCTGGGCCTGCTGTTCACCAGCCATGTCTGATCTCTGACTCTGTTTCCCCATCTGCAAAGTGGGGTTATTGACTCCTCCCCTGCTGGAGATACCAGTGCACCACCAGGTGTGGCAGTGACGGGAAGGTGTGTAAGAATTCACAGGTCTCTTGAAATAAAGTCTGCGTACTGTGGCTGTGACTCAGGTTCCTACGCTTCAGGTATCTTCCAGTCAGCCGGCTGCTGTGGAAACACAGCGGGAGCCTGGCGGCCCTGAGTTCAAATCCCAGCCCTGCCACTTATAGGCTGTGTGGCTAGAGCACTTTACCCCCTGGGCCTCAGTTTCCCTACAAGTTAAATGGGTGTGATAGCAGTAAGGTTCCGAGTGTGTGCCTGGCCCAGAGACAGGCTGGGTTGGAGTCAGGCTGAGAGGCTGTCGCTTGCCTGAAGTCACAGAGCCATGTCTGGGTCCCTGTGTCTTCACAGAGAAGCCCCTAAGGACCAAAAAGAAGAAGCCCCCCGTCCGGGACAGAGGAGACCCCGGGGGGCCCAGCAACGACGACCCTGCCTCCGGGGAACACCCCTCAGGACCACTCAGGTACAACAGGGCCCCCAGCTTAGTGCCCGTGGGCGCCTGTGGAGCACCTACAGCGTGCGTGTGCGCCCGGCCAGACCTGGGATCAGAGCCCTGACTGCGTTTCTCCCACACTTCACAGCAAAAGGCTGAGCCCACAGGAAAGTGACGCAGGTGACGGGGAGAATCCTAAGAAGCTACTGAAGAAAAGCAGCAATTTGTAGTTTGAGGCCTGTCCTTGGGGACGGAACCTGAAGATGGTCTGAGTGCACCTGCCCCCGCCCCCGCCCCGTGAGAAACCCGAGGAGGAACCCGCTGGCCCGGGCGATGGCGGGGTTCCCCGTGCTCACAGGTGGAGAGTGGATGGTGTCAATGTGCCTGAAAAACAGTGAGTGCTGCAGACCCTGCTTCTCCGGACAATCAGACGCGCAGGGTTGGGCACACTCTGAGTTCTGTCTTCGGCTCCGTCCCTTGGGGATCCCTTCTTTCTGGCTCGGTAGTGCCCACCACTGTGCCCTGGTGCCCCCGACCCTGCCTCCCCTGGCACCAGGTGCTCCCTCCAGCCCTGGGCCCCTGCTCTCTGCTTCTTGGGAGTGACGGTGTGGCTGATGTTTTCTGGGTCAGGACTTTTCTCCTCCATGCTCACCCCCC